TTGCATATGCCAAAAATCGCAAAAAAAAAAAAAAAAAAAGACATTCAGATATCAAGTAACGGAACAAACATTTTCGACGATTATAAATGAAACATCACAATTTAACGGTTATTTTAACTCTGATTTTGATGATTTTTTACAGTACACTCCTTGATCCTATATGAATACAACAAACTAATTCGATCATCAATTTAAAACATTTATACAAGTGGATACGACAAAATCCTATGTTATACTTAATGAAAGTATAAATAAACTCCAAAGTTTAGTGAATGTATTGTTTTGATGGGATACACATTGTACAAAACTAGTTTCAACGATCCAACCGTCAAACTTGTTTGCATATAATTTGAGATCACATACACCAAAAATTGCAAAAAAAAAAACGTTTATAGATTAAGTAACGGGACAAAGTTTTTCGACGGTTATAAAAGAAAAATCACGATTTAACGGTTATTTTAACTCCGATTTTCATAATTTTTTACAGTTACACTCATTGACCCTATATGAATACAATGAATTAATTCGATCGTCAATTTAAAATATTTACAAAAGTGGACACCACAAGAGAAAAAGGCAATGCAAGAACCCCAAAAGAAAAGCAAAAAGAAAAAGAAGAAGAAAAAAAAAAAAAAAATCTTTGCGCGACGAATGTACACCTTCATCCAGTGGCAGATCCAAGAAATAATATTAGAGGGGTCAGTAAGAATAGAGCACGCAACGCGCAAATTTTTTTTTATCAGAAATAACATGCATATCACCATTTCATCAAGTCTTGGTAAACCTGAAGTTATTTGGAAAGGCATACTGCACACTTGTTATTGTATGCAGGGACAACACCCAAGGCATCCATGGACATTCATTGAGTCTTGGCAGGCCTGAAGTTAGTTGGAAGGCATGTATGAAGCCAACTCTAATCTTCAAAATGGCAACACCTAAAGTATCCATGGACATTCACCGAAGTTCAGAGGGTCAGCACCCAAGGTATCTATGGACGTTCACCAAAGTTCGGGGGGTCAGCTGACCCCCCTGCCCCTCAATGTATCCGCCCCTGCCTTCGTCGCACAAAAAAGCTTTGAGCAACGTAGGTGCACTTGCGTCGCGTAAAGTTGGGAAAAAATGGGTTAAGCATTCTTGGTTTGGTGCCAAAATCTTGCTCGCGAAAAGTGTCGTTGCGCAAAGGTCATTTGTGCGATGTTTTGTGTTTAGCTTCACGCAAACATACTTTGCGCGACAAAATTTGCTACGTCGCGCAAGGTGCTGTCGCTCAAACATGTTTTTGTACTAGTGTTAAGTTTTTAATAGAAAATATATGTATACATGTAATATAGGATGTATATATATAGGGGTGCAATTTGGGTTGGGTCAACTTGAATCCATCCATGCCCAACCCAATTTTAAACTCAATTGAGTGGATTAAATTAAAGTAAAAACTCGCCCATACCCAACTTAACCTCAACTTGATCAACCCAACCCAATTTCTAGCCCGAATTCTCTCAAACACATATTACTCATTCAACTTCATATAATATAAGCAAGGTACAAGTTTAGGGATGACTAAATTGAGGATTGTTGTTGGTTTTGATTTGTACAATGGATGATAATGTTGCTTTTATGTTTCTTTTGGTTGAAACTTTGGTATTATCTTGTACTTGTATTTCAACTTCGCATATTTGAAATATTAGAACTAATCTCCACACTATTTGGCTTTTGTGTGGATGATGATGTGTAAAATTAAATAATAACTAATATATATTGATGTTGTTTACAAAGTTTGATAACATCTTGCATAATAAAGTTTTAAGATTGAGCTCGATAAAGTTGGACAAACTTGACTCAGCCCAAGTAAGCCCGAGCCCTTCAATTCAGATCTAAACTAGAATAAACTCGTGTGAACTCAAATCCAACCAAACCCAAACTGTGAATGATAATTATATAAAAATGAAAAATTTTGGGCCTCTTAAAAATTAGGGTCCATGGGTCGATGCACCTTTTGCATTATACCCAATGGCACCCTTGTAGAAGAGCTCATAATTATTTTTGTGAAAGCTGGGCGTGTTTCTTTATACAACAATATATATATATATATATATATATATATATTTAGACTATGGGGATGAAGAATATTGATATCAAACTCATCATTCACGTAATTTGAACCTGAGATATCTCACTTACAAGTAAAGATAAATACAATTAGACCCTTATATATATATATAAAAGAAAATTCCCTCCAGCAAAACAAACATTTTCCTTGATATCATCTGAAGTGTGATTAAGAAGCCCTTATACTTATAAGAGCTTTTCAAAAGAGTGTTATTATTAAAAACTTGTTAAAATTTTAATTAAAAGTACAAGTTCTTTTCTCGCGGGTTCTTTTCCAGAAAGCGTAGTGCTTTTATGTTCTTTTGCCAAACCTTAAGCTAGAAGCATTTTTAGATTTTTTGAAAACATTTTTAACACTTTTAGAAGAAATTTCAAGCCAACCCTATTTACAGAAGTACGAGAAAACATGCCTTTCCTTTTCTTTTGCATGTCGTCCAATCTTGTAGTGGATAGCATGTTGGTTTTCTACATGCGTTATAGGTTCGAAACTCCTCATTCCCTAAATTATTGTAATAGTTTCGAATCATTCTCTCTCCTTATTTAAAAAAATGCCTTTCCTTTTCGTTTTATTTTGTTCGTAACATTTGATTATAAAGCTTTGTTGTAAGAGCTAGTACTATTTCTGATTCTTAATTTGGTGTTAGTCACAGCAACAACAAGATTATATTCTAGTAAATCTGGAAACTATTATTAGAACAGGGGAATTGTATAGTAGATGCACAACGGGCCAGTGTTAAAGTGGAGATAAAGATTCTCCGTATCTGAAACTCCAATGCCAAAGAGCATATAATATATAGCCTTGTAGATTAAATTTCTTCCCCCACCAAAGAATGGAACATTGAAAATGAAAATGGGAGTTCCAAATAATTGAGAATCTGAGATCAAATGGCTGTGCAGATATAATCCGTGGGCCAAAAAAAAAAAGCAGGCAGCAAGTGCGGGGGAGTTGATTGAAGTGGGGCCATCAAAATTGAAGAAACAGAAGAATAAGGAGGATAAGAGCTTTGCTAGTTGCTGCAACTACATTGTGACGTGAGGGTGAAGTTGCTCTAATTTAGATTATGCCGAAATTGTTAGTCAAAGCAGTTAAAATGTGTGATGCATGCAAATTGCAATCCCATGCAACCCATCCTTAACCTACCTGCATACGGCCCACGCCACGCCCGATGGGGTCGCATTGTCTTCCAGCGTGAAGGAAAACTGTCGCTTTTCGAGTGCAAGTTGGAGGGACCATCTTCAAAACTAGTTTCATTGGACTTGTACATGGATGATGGATTCAATAATAATCTAGCTGAATCATCTGGATAGCTGAGAACATTTTCACGCGTCTACATAGGATATTTTGGCATTTTTAAAAGTCCTACATTCTAGATTTGTATTTTAAAACAAAAATCTAACCGTTTAAACATCCGAAGTATCTCGAGGTACCATAGAAAATTCCTTGAGTGACAAATATTTTATTTTTATTTTAGATTATGTAAGGCATGTTATCACTTTGCCACTAGCAGCGAAGTAGACCCAAATTGTTTTCAATTTCTTGGCGATGAAAATACTAGTTTATAAATTATAGTTAATGGGACAACAAGACTCAATTCAATCGATGTATTGTTCGTTTAAATTCTTTGATCCTTCTAATATACCTTAATATGAAGGTTTTCTTCTTCCCTAGTTCACGAGATCAATAAATATCTTTCTTGAAGCTCAAAAGGATTCATATGAAATCATAGTGCATTTGAACGGCCCAATTTGTCACATACCGATAAAGATAGCAACCTGACCAAGAAAAGGCCCGTATCTATTACACGCAAAAGTACAAAGTGAGAACTTAATTCATAAGTAATTAATAAAAGACATGCCAAGATCGAACCTTGCTAATTATAAATAGCAATCATGTAATAGCAAAGCATTGTACCAATTAGCACTAGTAGAGAAAGAAAAATTTGTGCGACCCAACTTTATGTGACGCACCAAATTTTGTTACGCAAGGTCGCTTTCCACGACGAAATAAGAGTACCGTTGTGAGAAAACATCAAGGCCAAAAAAAAAAAAAAAAAAATTGAAAACATTAGGCCACGAAGCCTTTCACCGAGCAAGAAGGCTTTGCTTGACAAAATGGATTTTTCGTTGTGCAATATCTGGGTAAAAACGTAGTAATATGAAGGTTTTACGCCATCTATCACGACGAACAATTTTTCATGCAAAAATCTTGCGCCATGAACTATTCATCACGTAAAGAACTTTGAAATGATCGGTAAGATATTTAAGATGGAGTAATTAATGCAAGCTTTGCGCGACGGGGGCTTCATTGCGCAAAGGTTTCATGGGTTCTATTAAATCACAGATCCACTATCTCTTTTAAACATACAATTTAAATTTGAAGGCTTAAGTGGCACCTTGACCTTTTTAAAAAATTTCTTCTCCACTCTATACGTCAAACTATTATCTACTTTTCATAATTGTAATAAATATTTTTAAAACTAAAAATAAAAATAAAAATGATGAAAATCACTTATTAATCCCTAAAATTATATTTGAAGTTGTTGTCAAATGTGACAGCAACCATCTTTGATGTCAAACCACATCATGTCACATAGGAGTTGACATTTCGGTTGAAAAACACTAATGTTGTCTTTTTTACTATTATTGCTGATGTGGACTTTTTGACTCCTCTATTTTACTCTTCATTTGGAGATGCTCTAAAGTAGTAGTTAAAATGGGAATTTGGCTGTTTATTATTTTATTTTATAATTTGTTTTGGTTCTAATTCTTTTTTGTGCGTTTAATACATAGTTATGTTCTGTTTAACAATAATTTTTCTGCCAGTTTACAATAAATAAAAAAACCTTAGTTATTATCTCAATCATTTTATAAGCATAAATACCCTCAATTTGTAATTCTGGCAAAAAAATTGTGAGTTATCATTTATTTTAGCAATAAGAGTTGATGCCAAGATAAGGATTAACTTGGAATAGGGAAGTGAACTTCCGCAGGGGTGATTGGTCGCTTACAGTTACAATCCTTCAGCTGGTGTGTCTCGGGAACCTGCAAGGAAGACAGGAGTTAGGGTTGAAGGGTACCGTGTGGTACGGCCAAAGAGTGTTTAAGGTGCTACATGTATTGTTTAAGGTAATAAATGATGATTACATGAAGGAACAATGACCTTCTATAGATGTATATATATCTGGGAGAAGTTAATACGTACCTTTCGTTAATGTGGGATTCTTAAGATATTGTTGTGGTGTTGAGACGTCGGAGTAAGTGAGCTCCATGTAGGAGGAAAGTGAGAGCTTACGATTGGTTATGGAGTTAGTCGGTGGCACCTGTTGCCACACGAGGTAGTCCGCCTTGGCATGTGGTGCGGGAGCTAAGTGTCGAGTGAAGAAGAAAGTTGATTCAGAAGGCGTGCTTCGATAGTATGGCTTTAACAAGTATTGAAGACTTGACAATTTCGAGACCGATCACATATGCTACAAACCGAAGTAAATAAAAGACAAGCGGTGAAAACTGTGGCCACATTTTTCTCAAATTAGTTGGACAAATGTCTAAGTTTAGTACTTTTCTTGTTGGACAAATGTCAAATTATTTCAAATCCAGCCGTCATATTTGATTTTGAGCACATTTGGGTAGTTGTATTGGTTACAATGGGTCAAAAAATTGCTAAGAAAGTAAGTGGAGTTGAAGGTCTACAATCTTTTTCAATGGAGAATTATTAAACCAACTTGGTAAATCTTTTAGAGCAGTTCCAGCCCAAGGCATTTGGACCGGCACCAAGTGAAAAAAATAGGTTGGGACTCTGTCCATCACCTCCAGCCCGCAAAACAGGCTGGCACCCAGCCCAAGCCAGGCAGCAGCCCAGCCTATTTCGGACAGACCCAGAAGCCGGTCCATTTCCCTGGCGCGTGCACGACACGCGCTACTAGGCGCGAGTAGCCGACAGCCTTTGCAGGCGGTGGGGCCCGCGTGCAGGGCAACTTGCGTTCGACCGGGTGAGGGCTACGTGGCCCTCCTCAGAGTCGTTGGATTTCCAACGGCTAGTTTTTGTAGGCCGTTGGATTTCCAATGGTAAAAAAAATTTAAATTTGACTTTTAAATTGGACTGTTCGATCACAGATCAACGGTCCATGTTTTTTTCACCAAAAATATTAAAAAAAAAAAAAAAAAAAGGCCCAACGGTTAGAAATTTGATCGTTTGCCACGTGGCAGCTGGTTGGCTGTTGGATTTGATTATTTTTCAAATCCAACGGTCCAGATTAATTACAACATTAAAATTTATTAAAAATTAATTAAAAATTGTGAATTTTTTTTAAAAAATATAGAAAAATTTTAAAAATTTAATTTTTTTTTTCTATAAATACCTAACCCTCATCTTCCACCTTACACCACATTTCAATATTTTCTACACTTTCTACACTTTCTACATTTGAATATTTTGTACACTTTGAGAGAAAAAAATGACTTCGTGGAAGCTCAGTGAAGATGTTACGTTGTGTGAATGTTGGGTTCGCACTACTCATGACCCGATTACGGGTAATGAGATGGATAAGCGAGAAATGTGGAGTAAAATTACAAAATCGTTTTGCGATGTACATGGAAAGGATGTACATGGAAAAGATGCCAGATCTAGTCAAGGTCTTCAAGGTCGTTGGAAAAAACTCAACGCATCCTTTACTTGTTGGAAAAACGCCCTCTCTCATGCTTCTGGTAATCTGCGTAGTGGGACAAGTTTAGCGGATGAGGTAACAATATTTTTATTTATTTATATGCATTCCACCCACATCAATATTTTAATTTATTTAATTTCTTATGTAATTTTTATGTAATATGCATTCCACGCCCATCAATATTTTAATTTATTTATTTGTGTTACACCCACATCAATATTTTAATTTATTTAATTTCTTTTATGTAATTTCTATGTAATTTCTTATGTAATTTATATGCATTCCACGTCCATCAATATTTTAATTTATTTATTTGTGTTACACCCGTATTTTTTAATACTATCTTATCCCACATTTTTATAGACACTACAAGCACAAGCATTCTACAATGCAAAGAACCATAACAAATCATTCAACAAATGGGAATGTTGGCAAATTGTCAAAGATTGCCCTAGATACAAAATTGTGGCAACCGGTCCAAAAGTTGTCATGCACGGTATGGGTCTACACAGTTCGCCAGAAGCAGACACAGCCGAACAAGAAGCCAACACATTTGAAGACACGGAAGGGACGCTTGAACAAGTACCAGAGACCCAACCGACTCGTCAGTCCCTCAAGCCTCAAGGTAAAAAGGCATCAAAGAAAAAAGGTAGTTCTTCCAAAAATGACTACACTAAATATATGGAGGAACTTACTCGTCAAGGTGAACTGAACATAGCATGGGAAAAGGCTAGAGATGAGGAAAAAGCTACTGCTATGGCAGCAATAATAGCAGCTACTGAGGCTCGTGATGCGGCGGCTGAGAGACAAAGAGAAACAGTTAATCGAGAGAACGAGATGATTAGAGAAGCACTTCATCGAGAGAATGAGATGCTTAGAGAAGAAAGGATGGCTCAAACAGATCGTGACACTATGAACAAGTCTCTAGTAGGACTGTCTCCGAATTCAAAATATTTTTGGACATCAGAAAAAAGAGATGTCGTGCAAAGGAGCCGTGCAAGAGATGCCGAAACAAGTCAAGGGGGTTCCAGCTACAGAAATCCTAGCAACCAAGATCCTAGCACCACATATCCTAACTCCACAGACTTTGTATAATTTCGCATTTATTTGTACTACTTTATTTAATTTCTTATGTAATTTCTTATTTATTTTTAGAACTTTATTTAATTTCTTATGTAATTTCTTATTTACTTGTAGAACTTTATTTAATTTCTTATGTAATTTCTTATTCACTTTTAGAACTTTAGTTAATTTCTTATGTAATTTCTTATTTATTTTTAGAACTTTAGTTAATTTCTTATGTAATTTCTTATTTATTTTTAGAACTTTATTTAATTTGTTATGTAATTTCTTATTTACTTTTAGAACTTTATTTAATTTCTTATGTAATTTCTTATTTATTTTTAGAACTTTATTTAATTTCTTATGTAATTTCTTATTTACTTTTAGAACTTTAGTTAATTTCTTATGTAATTTCTTATTTATTTTTAGAACTTTATTTAATTTCTTATGTAATTTCTTATTTATTTTTAGAACTTTATTTAATTTCTTATGTAATTTCTTATTTATTTTTAGAACTTTATTTAATTTCTTATTGTTATGTAATTTTTGTACTTTATTTAAATATTTGAATAAGATTACATAAACTCACCAAATAAACATTTAAAAAAAAAACACCAAATAAAATTACATAACCTTACCATTTAAACTTAAAAAAAAAAACAAACACACTAAATAAGATTACTTAAAAAACAATACACTTTATTCTTCAACCACAAGCCTTATTTTAATTATCTTCGCCTTCGTGCAATCTCCACTGATGGTCAATCAAGTCATTTTGGCGGGTTATGTGCCAGTATGGCTCTTGCAATGAAGTGTACCGTTGAACGATCAATTCATTGTAACGTCCATCCCGTTCCAACGGCTCGTGTTGCACGGGATCTTCGGTCCGGTCATGAGCATAGTAGATTTGTGTTCTTGAGTTGTTCATCGGATCCGGCTCGTATTCATCGACGGCATCATAATCATACTCGTCTTCAACAATCATGTTATGGAGAATAATACACGTCATCATGATGGATCGAAGAGCCTCGACATCAAACATTCTAGCTGCAGCTCTGACAATGGCCCAACGAGCTTGCAGGATACCAAAACAACGCTCAACATCCTTCCTACACCCTTCTTGACACTTTGCGAAGTGTTTCTCTTTTTCACTTTGCGAATGTGGCACTGTTTTGACAAATGTTGACCACCTTGGGTAAATACCATCTGCAAGGTAGTATGGTCCCTCGTATTTATTACCATTAACCCAATATGTGCATCTCGACCCATTTCCTTGTAGCAGTTCGTCAAACACTGGAGATTGGGCAAGGACATTTAGGTCATTCTGAGCTCCTGGAACACCAAAAAAAGCATGCCAAATCCATGTATCAAAAGAAGCCACCGCTTCCAAAATAATACTTTTAGCTCCTTTTCTATCGCCATAAGCTCCTTGCCACGCACTTGGACAGTTTTTCCATGTCCAGTGCATGCAGTCGATGCTTCCAATCATGCCAGGGAAGCCTCGCATCTCACCCTTCCTCAGAAGCCTTCGCATGTCCCTTGGCGTGGGTTGCCGAAGGTACTCATTGGTGTAGAGGGCTTCAATTGCAGAGCAAAACCGCATAAGGGACTCCAGAACTGTTGTTTTTCCCATCCTTGCGATCTCATCCACTTGATCTGCAGATGCTCCATATGCAAGCATTCGCAAGGCAGCCGTAATTTTTTCCTCAGGAAGAAGACCTAGAACATGAAAAGCATCCTCTTTTTGCACAAAATATGGATCATGGTTGCAAACATCACTCATGATTTTATCGAACAAACTTCATTGCATTCTAAAACGACGTCTAAAAACATGATCAGGGAAAATGCTGTTGGGAATAAAATAATCTTCCAAGAGATCTTTATCTCGTCTTTCCCTTCTTCTATCGATGTTTGCCGCACGTCTGGGTTGGGCTATCTGACCCATAGCTTCCATGATACGACGGGAATGTGAGGCCCTCCGCCTTCTATGGTGATCATCCTCATCCTCCTCCATTGCGAAGGCCTCATCTCCACCTCCACCTTGGTCAAGATTGACCAATTCTTCCTGTTGTGCCAACAACCTTTTCTGCTGCTCTTGCAACTGTTTATACGCTCTCCTTGAAGAAGACATTGTAAGAACTCAAGATTTGAAAACGATAAAGAAGAATTCTGAGCTAAAAAAAAGGATTGAGTTTAGTGTGAGGATGGATGTAGGGATGTAGGGTTTATATGGACAAAAAAATAGAAGATAAGGTTCTGGACAATGCCACGTGGCACTACGTGATTGGTTAAAAATCTTATCGAAATCTTGGCTAAATTATTGTAAATAGGAAGTGACACGTGGTGTGTCAGGATTGGTTGAAAATCTTATCAGAAATCTATCTACAAAATAGTATGTTCGGATAATGACACATGGCGTGACAAGATTGGTTAAAAATCTTATCGAAATCTTGCCTAAATTATTGTAAACAGGAAGTGACACGTGGGTTGTCGGGATTGGTTGAAAATTTCGGATAATGACACGTGGCGTGACGAGATTGGTTAAAAATCCTATCCGAAATTAAAACTTTTTTTTTATTTATTATTTTATAAAACAATTATTTAATATTTTAAATGGACTGGGTGCCAGCGCATTTTGTAGGGGTGGAGATCGTTTGTGCCAGTGCATTTTTAGACTGGGTGCCAGCACATTTATTTTGGGGTGGAGATGATTTGGCCTATTACTGTTCATTAGGTCTATTACTGTTCACTGAAGTGGATAAATAGGCTGGGTGCT